TAATGATCAGTTCATTCCTTTGTCACACACACACACACACGCACGCACACACACACACACACACACACACACACACACACACGATATTTTTCTCATTGTTTCCACCATTTAGGAATTTCTGCTTGATTTTTAAGCGTTGAATAGCTTACAATGAAAATTAGTCATTTAAATGATACATAACTTCGGTATGTTTACAATTTCAATGCTACAAATTTCAAAGTTTAATTTAAACCTTAACAGACCAACTTTTTTTTTTTCTAGCGACCACTCATTTCTTACTTTGTTTTACTTTCTCTCTGAAGGCACCTTTTCATCGTTTAGTTATTAGCATTTGTCAACTTGCTTTTTCAAAATTTCTTAATTTTTCTCGTTATTGAAATTATGTCATTCCAGATGAAAGCCAAATGATGTAAGTAAATTGACAGTTCAATGACAAATGTCCCATGAATCTTAACATTGACACTAACAAAGTGATCAGATGAAACGAGTTGAGAAATGTGAAAATATTTTGTGAGAATTTCTCTGGAAGATTTCAAGCAATTTAAAAAAAAAAAAAAGCTTGTTAACATAAGAAAGGAAAGCAAGCAAAAGTGAATGGTTATCATTCCTGTGTAGTAAAGCCTTGAAATAGTCATAAAGCTTTGGATTGGGTTGGGTCCTGGAATTGATTGGACTCTTTTATAACTGTCCTCATCAACATATATTCCTCACATTTAGCTCCATTAAAGTATTTGCTTCTATTGATATTTTTGAAATTGAAGCAATTTTAACTATCAAATTGTTTGAAATTTCATTTCAATCCTTTTATTTATTATCTTAGCATTGGTCCATTTTTTGACTCATTCCAAGAGGTCTATTTAAGAAAAATGTCCAATTTAGATTTTGATCTTATCATAGATTGATATACAGATTGATGATTGATTGTTTTGAAGACAACATCACGTTTAACCTTCCCCTAACCCTGCATTACATTTCTTACCCAAATCAGATAGCATCGTACCCATCATCAATAATTAGTTATTTCTTCACTGTAATCTTCGACGAGAGGGTATGGGAGGATTATGTACAGCGGGTAATTGGAATGGAATGCGCATATATGTCTGCATGGACTGTAATTGAGATGCCCTTTTGTCGATAGAGTAATTCGTAGGGAACTGAGAGCTTATCAGTGATCGGATCTATCACCAACTTGACTTTGTGGTCTGTCTTAAAACTTGTCTTGCTTACCCTCAAATGTCCTCCAAATAATGATCTACTTTGTCCGTTCCTTACCAGTGACCTCAGATAACCTTATCAGGTTAGGGTGGGACTAAATTTCATCAAAAATTGTCTATAAATAGTAATAGATCTCTTTATGGCCAAGTAATTAATAAGTGGGAGTCGCGTAATATTGATTTGCTCCATTTATTTGTTTTGAGTATGTGAGATTAGACGACAAATTCAAATTTCTACTGCTCAAGCAAATTTAGATTCGTGATAATTCTAATGAAGAGATTTGTTATTTTAAATATTTCGCTCCTTTTGAAATGTTAATTAATCAACATCAATCTATGCACCATCCATATCACAAAAATTACAAACACTATCAGAGTTAACCTATAATGAAGGGGATAACGTACCATTTGTGTTCCTATTTTATAGTTCGATCTGAATCGCTTTCATCTGAAGTCGAGAATAAACCCTAAAAATGTCACATAATGTCATTATTCTTCAACGATCGATTTGAATGATTAAATCATTAGTCCTTTATCATTTATACGATCTCAGAAGGTAAAATTATCTTCTAACAATGTTGTAACCAATGAATAAATTAAAATGAATGGTTGAATGAACAGTATACCATTTCTCGTATCGCATGAACTTGAAATGTTCGGATAGTTCTGATATCCTGTTAAATCCCAAATAATATCAAAATGCAAAATGGAAATGTATCCTTTTGTACCTTGAACCGGAACTATCCGGATTCATTCCTTTCGTTGCTTCCTTCTCAAACATCTATTATTGTCAAACATCAATTCAAATGATATCTTTTTTATGAAAAGAAAATCTTTTTTTTAGATATTAAGTTTCTCTGAAATGCAAAATACGCATGAATGCTCAATTATTTCATCATTTTGAACAGTATATTCACAGACCTTTAAGGATAGCCAAATCTTTTAATATTGCTTTGAAACTGGTATCACTAATTTAGTCATCGTAAATATATCTAATAAAATTATTTCAAAAAGATTATTCCTTAACATTCTTTGATACCTTTTCTCTCTAGGTCTTATATGGCATAGAATCAGTGCAAACATTTTGATTATGCTAATTCAACTAACTTTTTTTTCCAGCGAAATTTTAGAATTTCCAGATAAGACGAATCGATATTGGTGACTTGAAGTGATAACAGAATTCAAGTTTCACTGAAATAGCAGTATCTCGCTTGAAAGATTAAAATTAAATGATTGATATCGCAATTATTAGTAAATCATACTAACATCACCTCAAATATCAAGTGTTTATTTTTGACCCTTTTATTAGTAACCCTTTTATAAGCAATAAATTGGTAATGTCGCGAACTTTTTGAAGAGGAAGATATAATGAATTATAAGTAATTGAGTTTTGTATTTTCATTATTTGAGTAATCTCTATTTAAAAGCCATGTTCTACAGGCACTTTGCGAATGGCTTTAGGATCTATTTTCCAGAAAGCTTTGATAATAAAAGATAAGCAAGCAAGAAGAGTGTTATGATGCTTCTCGAAATATCACTAGCGATAATTTCATTCTTGTTGATTTCCGTATGCAATAGTTTACAGACGAAAACATTACCTGTAAAACTATAATCAGTTATCAATTAGTTGTAATCAATTATCAGTTTATAGTTTATCGATTCCTATTACTATTATCATCCTGTTGACCACTGTGTTGGTTTTCTTTTTGCATAATTTTATATTATTGCGCTGCGAATGGTTAAAAAAAGTAGTGATATTAGAATATTATGATTAAATCAACATTTCATAATAACCTGAAATAATTCCGGAATTAAAGCACGCATGAAATTTCTAAGATAATTAGAATGAGACTTCATTGTTACCATTTAGGCAAAAAGTAATGGTGCCTGATCTTTGGAATAATATTTCCATCTTTTTTCGGGATTCTTTGCCCCCTTGAACAGTTCTTTGTTTTTGTTTTCCATTTTTGATCTTTAGTTTAAGAATTTTTTTTTTTTGCTCCTTCTAATTTCAAATTAAAATGTTGTAATTCCAAATAAAACATTCTTGAATGAAATTATTACCTTGTGCTTTTTTTTTCTTTAAACGATTCATCGTTATTTTGCACTTTGAACTTCGTCTATTTATTTACCCATATGTGATTTTCTCTCATTTTAAAAGTACAAATGAGACATTCGATGATGTATATGATAAGACTTTATATGATAACACTTGTTTTTCTGTTATAATGTTATACGCTAGCTTTTTAACGAACTTAATTCTTCAGGAGATTTTTATGATAACAAAGAAAAGATGCGACGAAAACGCTAAATTCAAATTTGCTAAATTTTACTGTAACGAAGAAACATCGATCAGCTTGCAACGATGATGCAAATTGAGCAGCAATATCTGAATTTGAACGATGTTCGAATGGTAATTTCAATTTTTCTGATAAATTGATGATGAAAATTTCCACAAAAATTTAATTTATCATATAATTTGAACATATTTTTTATCACGATTCATCTCCTCGATCAAAGCGATTTGTCAATGAAGTTTGTAGATTTCATCATCATTTTAAAGGAATATTTACTATTAACCTTAACTAAATGAAAGTTAAGGTAGCCATATATTAGTAACTATGAGATTAAGGTTTCTTCCATGAGTAAAACTGCGAGGACTACCGGATATAGCATAATTACCGGAATATTTGGGACAGTGCGTCACATATTTATTGCAACATTTGACTAAATATCAGTTTCGCAAAGGAGGATTGAACCATTTCTTTCAGTCCATTCGCCAATTTGGATGTTTGTGAAGCAAAGAAAATGGTGACACGATGTTTCTCTATTAATTTTTATTAGCATAAGAGACAGAAAGAAAAAATTATTACAACATTTTGAAATGTTAAATAAAAAGAAAAAAAAATAAGGAAACAAATCAATGAGTAATTTGTATGTTTCAGAGTCAACCGGCGGAAGCAACAGTACCGCCACCACCGGTTGTAATTTGTCCAACGGAAGTGGACAATATTAATATAACTTTAGAGAAGAATCAGCAATGTGCATGCAAAGATTGCGGTAAATTGTTCAACTCTGTGTGGTATCTTAAACAGCATGCCGTAAAGCATTCCAACGATCGACCTTTCAGATGCAAATTCTGCTATAAGGTTCCTTTTTTTTTCCACTTTTGGCGGTTTATCATGCATCTTTAAAAGTGATCTAAGATAATAATAAACAAAGCGCGCCTAATCTTCTTATTGTTCATGCAAATTTCATCCATTACTTCTGTAAATCCTTCTCCGGAACAGTTCTATTTGTCTTCCCTGGAAAAACACTCATTTCATTCGATGTTCAATCCTACTATTTGTATTTATTGTAAAGTAATTATTCTGCGTAAACTCTGTCTCTTAAACTTTGAAAACAATTCCTGTTAATACATTTGAAATATTCCATCACGTCAACATTTAATTTCATTACGGAGTAACATGTACAATAATCGTATTGAAAATCAAGAATATCTAAGATGATGGTTCATTTACAACTTGTAATTTACAATTAGATAAGTACTAATTAATTTAGAAACATAGAATCAAAACAGATATAGTGGATTAGAGTATGAAGAAAAAGATGGATATTGGTATGTTATAGAATGATTAAATATGTTAAGAAGTGATAATAAATGAAAAGGGACGAGATGATATGATCGTAATGAAAGTTAGTTAAGAAAAAAAAATGTTCAATCGATTGCACTATCATTCTATCTTTGCCATTTTTGTTTCTCAAATTTGTTTTTCTCATTTTCATTCTTTCATTTCCCATCAAATTTGTGCCTTACAACAATTGTTTGATAACACTTTGCTTACAAATGATTTATGTTATATAATTTTATATTTTAATTAAAATTTTTTTTTAATATTTTTGATTTCATTGTACTTTTCAGTAAGCACATAATGCAATGATTCTTTTAGATGAAGTTTACTTACAATGTCCTTTATTATATCATTCCTTTTAATTCATCCTTCTTCACTTCCTTCTTTCTCTTATTTTATTGATCGTTAGTTTTTTGAAAAATAAGAAGTTTTTAATTTGTTTTTTTTTTCAGACTTACAAATTTCGATCAAATCTCTATCAGCATAAATGTCCAGATCGCACCAAAAATGGCAATATGTTAGTCGCTCATTTTGTTGAACCTGTTTTTTCCTTTATTTTTTTCCAAAAAAAAATTATACTTTTTGTTTTGTAGACCATTTAACAAACGCTTGATGTATCGTTTAACTGTCAACCAGTCGCATCTCTTTGATACACGAGAATTATCATTACAGCAAACATCAGAAAGGATTGCTCCATCCGATTTTGGCCATTTTTTCAGGTCTAATTGATCGCTTTTTTTTCCCTAAAGATGAAAGTCAAGTATGTCAAATCATTGTCACTTAGACATTTGTAACTTTGTCCTAAGAAAAAAACTACAATCTAACCTTTCCATTTTTCTTCAAAAGTACTCAATCCTAATTAACATTACCAAAGATAACTAAATAATTAAATGAAGTATTCTAATACATGTATATTTATAAATTCATTTTTGGTTACTGCCTTAGTCTACACAAGGGATTTTTTTTTCTTCCAGTAATAGGCCAAACTTCACCTTACCAACTAAGCCAATCGAGCAACATACTGAGCCAATTGATATCCCGATTGAAGCGATTACGTCAGAAACATTAACAGTGAAGCGACAAATCGAACTGCGGGAGACGATTGCGCCCAAACGACTTTTAGAGCAAGCTGTTATCGATAACTACTTACAAAAGCATAGGAATAAGGTAACAGTTAGATTTATAAGTGATAATCCTTGCTTATCTGATAAACATTATTCTCTTTACAAATAATGTTAGAAAAATACAATCTTTTTGAAATGTATATATAAATGATGTAAGATATCCGATATGGTCAGAGAGCAACGAACTTATCAAATTATCAGTAAATGATTTCTACTTCGGTGAATCATTAATTCTCTTTGTAAATGTTTATTGATTGATTTTCCTTTTTTCTGTTGGTTTTTCTAACAACTTTATGCAAATTTAATAAATAACGAAGTAAGATGAAATGTGTGCATGCTAACATCCAACAATTCAGTTGTACCAATGTCGCAAATGCAAGTTGCAATTCCCGACACGCGGATACCTGAGTCGACATATTGCTCAACACAACGAGCTAGAACAACTATCATTGCAGTGTGACATGTGTCCACAGCGATTTTCTAATGATATGGAATTTAGGAAGCATACGGAATCACATTCCAAGGATTCCGGAATATTGTGCGCAAAATGTTGCGCCTCTTTTAGGTATGTAAGTATTTTGGATGGGTGAAATTTGGACAAACTATAATCACTGTTGATGTTATTTGGATCAAATTCACTTTTTTTGCAGGTCAATGTTGGCATTAACGCGACATCGAAATCAATCCCGTCAATGTATGTCATCAGTTAGCAGCAGCTTTAACAATCAAAACATCGTATGTTTTTGTATTTTCTATTATCTGTGAATATCTTTATTAAAATTAGCTGTACACACCAATGAATATGGTTAATAAGACCTGAGAGACTTAATAAAATCTCAATTATATAAGATTAAGCGGTATGGATAATCAGTGGATTAGTTAAACAAAATATCCCAAGCAATGATCAATTAATTCCGTACCGTATCATTGGAAAGCGCATTTCTTTCACAATGCAGTACAGTTGATATGATTCACAACTTTGATAACATCTAAGATCAAGACATTATGACATCATGATAATTAGCAATTTATAAATTTGAAGCCATTCTAAATGAAATTCTTTCTGAGTAATTTTGAAAAATGAATTTGCAGGATGAGTATGCATACATTGATGCAGTTGAAGCGGAAGCGCAAATGAGTACAGCAACAGTAACTGATAATTTTGGTGGTGAGGAAAGATCATCATTGATTGCAACTGATAAGAATGGCAATTGCGGTAGTGCCAGTAGCAGCACTGTTTGTTATCAGCATTTCTCATCTAATCTAACGAGGTACAATCATCCCTCATCATTGTATTTCATTTATGTTACAGTGATCGTTTTCAAAATTTAAACTTCTAAAAGGAAGTGAATTATCATGAAATGAATGTAATCATAAATAATTCAGATCAGAAGGTCATGGTAGTGAAAGTGGCAATACAATGATCTGTGAAAATGGATCGAAACGAACGATCGCTACGGTAAAAATTAAACTTGGTCCAACGCCTGTTGTATCGATAATGGAGAAGAATGATGAGAGTAATAATGATGAGCAACCGTTGTTATCTCCAGGTTTGATTCCTCTTCCTTATCATATCAGTTAGCCTTTCCGATTGATTTCAATTTTTTACTTGCTCATATCACAAATATGACAAAGATCCCATTAGCAATCTATGCTAGTTGAACATTTCAGTAGTTAAAAGCACACCTTAAAGGTTTTTTTTGGAAGGCCTCATCACCTGGATTTGTCAATTCAAAATATGAATAGCCTAATTCATTAACGGGTAGATAAAATAATACTGGGATACTTGGAACGGGCCATAACGTCATAATGACGTGAACTAGCTATCAATTTTGCGTATTTAGCCATTAAAATACATCTTTGGTCAAAGGGAAATTCTGGCTAATAGCGAAATTGAAAATATAATTTCTTTGTGAAATGCATAATAATTACGTAATATGCTCTTTCACATCATTAAAGCATTACGATCAAACTATGTTTTATGGCAAAGTTTTTGTTTACATACAAATGGTAATTAACAGCTAATGAATCAATCAATTAGTTAAAATTTGGAAGTTTGTATACGGAAACTAACATGCAAAACACACAAACTTTCCTTTATCATGCAGAACTAAATGATATGGAAGCAACAAATTCGGAAGTGATATTGGAAGAGGAAGTGAAGAGACAACTATCACATGACAGCGACACTTCTCATATTTCTACAAATCGCTATAGCAGTTATATCAGTTCAGATCGAATTATCAGCAGTCATCATTCAGGTACACTTGAATCTTATTTTTTAAATAAATCAGTACAAAAATAAATGCCATTTTAACCTGCGATATCTCATCTTCATTCTTCATTTTTCGAGTTAACTCAATATAATCGTATCATTTGTTGTCACTGTCCTTTCCGTCAAAGCCTTTGCTAAAGGTTTACAATATACCTTCGATCACTGAATTCATGAAATGTCACAAACATACAGAATGATAGTTTTTGTTGGATGAGATAGTATAAGTGCGCTTACTGCATGCAACTCTTTGATATCGGTTTAATCAAAAACTCGAATAATTAATTGGCTCGAATTAACTCAATGTATTTCAGATATTTGAAAATGAATTTATTATGAACAAAAATATGAATTTTCTTTTTTGAAGGAAAAGTTGAAATATTATAGGAATGAGTGGTAGTAGCAGTAGTAGTAGTAGTGGTGGTAGTACTACCAGTAATAATACACAAACAAATGGTGGTGGTGGTAGTAGTGGTGGCGCTACTGGTAGTAGTGAATCGCATTTTGCAACTTCCACTTTCGATAGTTTTTTATCGAGTAATGCTGGCAGTGATGTTTATGACAGTTTGATGCTAGAAGGTGGTCGACCGATCATTCTACATTCCCATCTACATGCTACTAAAGGTTTCATTTTCAATTCTTTTAACATTTACCGTTATCTTTGATGGATATTTGTTACTGAATGGGTCAGTTATATTGGATGAGTCATTCATTTTATTTCATTCTTCGCTTTTCTTTTCAATATTTTATTCCCAAACTAAACCTTAATGTATTGTAATAATATTTGTTAAAAAATAACTTCAAATTTTCCTAAAGGACATTTCCTATTGGTATTAATTTCTTTAGAATTAAATTTTTTAGTTTAAATAAAAATTGCATTACCTTTACACATTCATTTCGTTTGTTTCACTAAAAATTTTGAAAAAAAGAAAATTTCACCCAATATTACCATTCCGATTATCACAAATAGATAACCTTTCTTGTCATTTTAAATATTGTTTTAAAAATTTCTTAAATGTCTTTAATTTATGTAAGTAAACATATCAAAACAAAATAGATAACATATATTATCATTAGAATTTAATTTTATATATTTATTAGTTACTTTAATTAATTCGTAAATGTGAAATCTGATAGTATAACTGAAATTGGAACTTAACGTATATACAAACATTCCGGTAGAGAATGCATAAAGTAATATATGATATTTTAATAAATGGACACAAACGCAGTAAACTGGAAAATGTGGTATTTATTTTGATGACTCACTCAAACATTGTTTATTTTGTAGCTAACAGGTTTAAAAAAAAAAAAGTGTACCGAAAAACATCTCTCCTGTAAATTGATGCACTTTGCAGTTGAAGCTGTATCCCATCCGGTTGTTGACTTGATCGGTTGTACGACGCAATCAATTCGTGATGAAATTATCCTCTGTGAAACACTCTTTACTGTACGAACACACTTTTTAAGGTTCTCATTTTATTTTTCTTTATTTAGGGTATGTTATATTATCGTTATTGTATAAGGTAGTACGGTAATCCTAAGGTAAGATTGTCTACGGTAGTTGTAAGGAAAACAGTGATTCTACGAAAAATTTGTCATCTGATTTCGGATCGCATAATATAACATAGGAAGCTATGGTTATCATCATTACATACTAATTAAACGTGAAAAAAAATTCAATGAAATGTTTCAATTGTTAGATACTGTGGTGGTTTTATGGACATATTGTCATCACTATATGCTAATTAAACTAAGCTCTTTACTTTCATTACTCTAATTAAACTAAACCTTTTACTTTCATTACTCTTTACTAAACTATCATGGCTTCCTCATCTAATTGAAGTAAATTCTTTATCTTAACTAATTTTAGTATTAATAATTACATGGAAGAGGATTATTGTATTGCTACAGTATGTCAGTTTTTGCTGATATTGAATTGATAATCTATTAGAGATATGGACTGAGATAATTAGGACTGTTTAATTTCATTTGTTTGTCCGCTAATTTTCTCAGATGTTACCCAATCAGTACAATTACAAAAAAAAAAAAAAATTCTTTTCTTTTTCTCCTTCTGATTCCTTTCTTATGCTTTTTATGAATTTATATCTTTTACAAACATTGAAAATACTTTTTGTTTTTTTTTTTTTAAATGAAAATGTAAAAATTTTTTCAGGAAAATTGCTGTATATATTGTTTATATAACAATGCTACAAACTGTGGAATTTTTCGATTCCATTTGTGGTTTGTTTCTTTGTTTTAATTCATAGAATTTAATTTTGAAAAACTTTTCAACCACAACTAAAATTTTTTAATTTGTATAAAATTTATTGCTTCAAATTCTTCTATCTTCCAATACTTCGTTCAGTTAAAAAGAGACAATGAGGGAAAGAGAGAGATAGAGAGAAAAAAGGATGATTAATTAGGATATAGAAGTATAGCGGTTTAATATCATTGTCGGCATCATTAAATAATTCGAGCGGATCTTATCGTTGATATGGTCGAATAATGTTTAAGTCTAATCGTCGACTTTTCTTTAATTCATCAAAAAAAAAAAAAAAACAAATCTTTTTGAATGCATATTATATGAACAAAGGTAGCATAGAATGAATGAATGTTATTTATTGGTGAAAAATTCATTTTTTTGGAAAATAACGCTGTTGAGTGGAACGGACCGAGAAATGACACGACAACGATGACAATTTCAACTGTCCTAAAACCGATCAGTGCCATTTTTTGCAACTCTTTTAAAAAGCACTTCAATAAAACATACACATACATTCCTTCACAGTCCAACAAATACATTAACTCTTCTATGAATGTATATGTATGTTTGTTAACATGCATGTTAATGTATGTCGAAGTGTATTTAGGGTATTTATTTTTTTAATGTTGATTTGTATGTATGCGTATGCGTGTATGTGTATGTATGTGTGCAATATATATATGTATGCATGTACGTACATATGTGTGTATGTGTGTATGTCAAACTTTCATCCATCTAATTAATCTTATTAAATTTTTTGGCTGGCACCTTTTGTTGCTGTCCAGTTTTTAAACCATTTCAGCCCAATCTAACATTCAAAGCGCTTCTTATCTTCTCTTCTTTTTTTTTTTTTTAAATTAGTCGTTTCACGTAAATAAATACGCACATGCGCATATGTACATACCCACTGACATACACACATACACACATACACATACATACACATTCAAAAATATTCTATTCATGCACAACTAATTCTTTTAATCGGCGATATTGAAGCCATCAATACCATTGAAGTGAAGTACTTAGAACCAATCCTATGGTAGATACAGTTGTTCCACTCCTTCCCTTCAGATCTCGTTGGAAGTTTGAAGTTCCGATGTATCGGCAGTCTCTCCTCTCTGTGTGCAACTGTGTAACTTTGCTGTCAGCATGTCTCAGTTTCACTTCTCTCTTCAATTCCTTCTGTCAAATCTTCAAAGTTCGAGTGGATGACATTTCAACAGTGTAATGTAATATTCCACTTCATGCTTTAAAAGTATAGACGGAATATGAACTTATTCCGGAAGTGCTATCTCATTTGAGAAAAGATTTCAAAAATGAAATACTTATTTGTGGGTAATTTATCTTCCTGATTGATCAAAATTCACAATTACCGGATGGTCGAAAATCCGGCAGTAATTTTGGTTTATAGAAAGATACTAGTTGAATTTCAACCCTTTCTCTTATGTTTCCAATTTTTAGCTGATCTTCTGCACTCAATATTCCATTGAAACAGGAATTACGGAAGTTGGAAGGTATCAGTTCGGGTACTGCTAGGATGGATGGAATGTCTCTTTTGCGGTTTAATTTTCTTGAGATTTGAACTGTATGATTCTGTTGATTTTCAAAATTTTTATTTGATTCATTTTAAAATCCCTTCCACCTTCATTCATCTTTCTCGTCTTTTTTCTCACCCTCTCATTCTTTCCTGCTATTCCTACCAAATATTTCTTGTTTTTTTTAACTTATATCTTCCAATTTCAACTGCAAACGATTCATCACATCGAGAAAAGTTGTTGGTATTTCAGGAAGAGAAAAGGAACGAATTAGAAATTCGTTCATTCTCTATTTTGATTTTTGAAAACATTTTTGACATTTGACAAGTTTGTCAGCCAAATCATTTGCTCAGATTTGCATATTAGAAATTGTCAAACTAAAATATTCATTAAAATCATTTTGTGTTTACTTTTTTAAAATAATTTTCAAGAATCGGAGAGATTTTTCAAAAATCTCACGCTTTTTAACTTTTTTAAACTTTTTTAACTTTTTCCTAAATAGTAATAAGAAGACATGAAATAGATGGCAGGATCAGTTGTTATTTATTACTCGAGTTGTTTCATCTTAAAATTGCTGTCTGACGATGATATGATATCATATGATATGATATGGTATGATTGATTCATATAGCATGAAAATTTTTAGTTAATACCAATTTTTAGTTAATACCGAGAAGATTGTAAGGCTATCGTTCATATCAGTAAACAAACATTGAATGCCTCTCTCCCTTAGTAAGCATTATCATTTCCATTATTCCATATAAAACCGATGATTTCGATTCAGCTCTGACAGTTTCTGGATGTCACCTCTTTTGCATATATATGATGTTTGGTGACAATTTTCCTGATTATATTTGATAAAAATGCAAGAACTGTATTGATTATTGCATTTGTCAGCTCTTTTTGAATGGCATACTATCGTTTCCTATTATATTGGCATAGTTTACGTTTTCGTCTTCCCCCGCAATCAATCCTTTTAAAGTGACAGTTGAAACTTACCAGTGTTAATTTTGTGTGCTTTCTGCACCTTTTTTTTTTTTTGCACCAATAACAATACTGATAGTACGAATTCTTTGACAGAAACTTTGATAAAACTCAATTAGTTGATGAATCTCAGATGGATTATTATTAATCAATAAAGCAATAAAGTAGTTTGCCATTTCAACTTTCAGGCTAACATTTAGCTTATTTGAATTATTTCAGAACGATCATTTTTGTCATTTCAAATGACTTCAAAATATGTCCACTTAGCTATTTCAGGATTTTGCTGTGAATTCACTCAATTAACAATTGATTCGATAAAAGTTGCCAATTTCGTTCCTTTTTAATAGTAAAAATTTACAAATTGTTCCATAAATGGTGAATAATTAATTCTTTTTCACTATGTAAAATAAATTTTTTCCTTCAAAAAAAAAAAGAAAAGCTAGAAATGAAATTTTTCAACGATGTTTGTTTTTTGCTTCTCTTCCGACATTTATTGGTTGTGTTCTTGTTGGATAGCTATCGTTCATCATTTCATCTATTCTTTTTTCTTTTTTTTTTTCATTAATGTTTGTCAAAACTTTGCAAAGACATGGTTCTATAGTCTCTCAAACTCATCTATAACAAATTCTATTTCTGAATTTAATTCTTTCAGTTTTTGTAACCAACCTTCATTCAATATTTTTCATCTATTTCCTTAGCACTTAGCACTCAACGATTACATATATCCGAACTATTTCTAATCATTCCTTTTTTAATTATTCTTACAGTTGTTTTTTTTTTTGAGAAATTAAAAAAAAGAATTCTACTCTTTTAGTATAGTAAAACGGGATATAAAGCAATTTCATACAATTTAAAATGTCAAATAATATTCAACATTTAAACATACAAAATCGATTGATAATGGATATTGCAAAATAAGATTGAGTAAAAACAAAAAAGAAAAGGAACTTGAATTATATGAAATTTTGTTGTCCTAAACAGTTGCTTCTAATTCTGAAAATGATTGAAATTAATTATTTTGAAATTTATTAAAATTTTTTCAACTGTCAACATTTTTAAGCTAGAATTTGCATTATTTTTGATTAAAGTTAAGTAATAAGAAAGTGAATTAAAAAAAGCGAAAGATAAAATGGTAAAATTTCGACACAATTTTTCATCCGTAAAAAAAAAAAAAACATGGATGAATTGTAAGAAGTAAGAGGAAGTTATTCACATTCACATTATACCCTTCCTTTGTTACACTTTGTCGATAATGAAAATTAATCAACGAATAGTTGGAAACTTTAATAGACCTGATAGAGTTAATACTTAAGAACTAACAATCATTCTATCATTCAGAAAATTACCGATTGAAATAATAATCATTTATTATTCATTTATGCCCATTCTTTCCTTTATTCTAAAAATTTTTATTATAGATTATTTACTTTATATCTTTTATTTAGTGATAAAATTGATAGATCGAATCTAACATGTATTATTTCAACATTTTATGACTAAAATTGTTGGATGGCGGAATTGTACAGTAGTTTAACCTGTGTTTCATCTCGAATGAAAAGTTGACCGTATTAATTAGTACTGTGATATGCAGGTCAAAAAGTTCGTAGATTGTTAGGTTGCAATTCCAAATTCAAAACTATGAATTGATTGACTGTGAAATTATTAGTTCTGAAGTTTGAATCGAAGTTCGACATCATAAACTGCCATCACAAACCAATTTTTTGCCAAATATAAAATTTTAATATGATATGAAAAAGCAACGTAAAATAATGGGAATTATTAATTTTTAAAATTAATTTTGGTCATATTCTTCATATGAAAAATTCCATCGTTTCTTTTACCTGAAATGGTAATGGACGTGTTTCATGATTAATTAATTCCTTGTATGTGTTTTATTAATTTCTTATACTATTTACAGGATCTAATTCTTGTATTTCACTTCTTGTCATTTGCAATTTACAGTTATTCATCTTACTTTTATGAATTTACAGGCAAACAAAAAAAGCTAAACCGGAATTTGTTGGGTGCCGCTGCTTCGGCAGCAATAGAGCATACATCAACTGCAAACTGCTTGAAAACGACACAGTCTGTAACCAAATATCCGGAGACTGTAGTTGAAAACGAATCCGGTAACGTTACTAACATTGTCGAAGATGATTCCGGAACCAGACGATCCGCTGCTAATGATGAACGATGATAGCGGGGAACTTTATGGTTAGTTATTTGTTTGAAATTCACAAATTTTATTTGACGCTAATTGTATTCAATCTCCAATTTTCTATTAGTTTCGTGATGTAGAGTACTTCTGTTCTCACTTAGTGTCTAGAAAATACCGATACTTTTCAATTAGATACGGTATTTGGACTTCCTGAAAAGAGAGAACAAATAAAAATTCACAATTATAATATATTCTTTTCAGACATACTTTTGGCAAATCGATTTTGATATTGGCGTGATTCGTAAAAAAAAAAAAGAACAATGCATCCTGGAAAATGGCATATTTCTCCTATAGCTTCCCGGGGTTTCGTCCATCTTTCTGTTACGATCGATCGGTGATAGATTAATACATAAGAAGCGTCTACATGTTTCTTCTACAGTTCACTCTTCCCTTCCTTCTTTCTTCTTGTCAGTTTTGTTATTCAACAACTTAAAAAACAATTCGACCAGTAATTTTGAAATTTTGACAATACCATTTTAAAAAATAGGCATTGATAATAGTGTAAAAATGTATCAATTTAATAAATTTCAAAAATAGATTCCAGCAAAAAACAAAGAAAGAGAGGTCAAAAGATTATTAATTTTTTTTTTTTGACATTTATTTTTCGTAAATTCTTCAATTTTTTTTTTTGCAAACAATTTTAAAAGTTTTAATATTTTGCGATACAATAATTTTAACTGTTTTTTCGTTTTTTTTTTTGAATAATTGAAACGTGCAGTAGCGGGAAAAAAAAAATGAAAAATTTCCCATTGCTTTAATTTTTTTCTTGTGCGCTTAATTAGAAGAAGTGATTTTTGTGCCTCTGCCATCGAGAACAGTCTCTGATCTCTAGAGGTCTTCATTTCGGAGGCCTTTAGCTGTTCAACTGCTTATCAATTTTTATTTATTACGTAAAAAAATTTTTTTGATGAACTTTTTGGAATTTCCAAAAAATTTGAGATTCGAGCATTTAAACAAAAGTAATCCTTTCAAATGCAAAAAGTTTCAAACATTAAAATGACTTTAATTTAATTGTTAAAGTTTAAGAGGTTTTTGAAATTCCTAAATAATAAATGTTAAATAAATATTTGTGAGATAGGATTAGAATGAATTCTTGTCATGAAATGATGACAGTTGAACAGCAACTACACGGATATTCGCGGTGGCAGTGGCACTTTTGCATAGCTCAATATTCCTTTTGTTGAACGATTCATTTTTCATTTTTCGTGTTAACTTTCAAATTATTAATTTCCTATTTGCAATGTTTGTTACAAAATTGCGACATTTTGTGCTATTACACCCAGAAAGACTTTTTCCTCATAAATTCTTTTTCATTTTCGACATTAATTTAATTTGAAATTGAAAATTGATATAATATTTCTTCAAATCAAACACTTACACTGTAATGTTCTTTTAAATCAAACGGACCTATACATATTTTATGCAAAAAATTTTCACTTGAAATTAATTGAAATTTATGTAATTGCGGTGAACGAATGGAATATGTGAATAAAATTGCCTCAAATTAGCAAATTTCTTGTTAATCTTTCAGAAAAAAAAAAATAAAGAGGAGAGCGCAATTGTCGCATTTTTCTAATGTCCATAAAGTCCTTTATGGACAAAATTATTGTTTATGGTCATCATGATTGATATATACATTAACCTTGTTTCTGCCCGTTTATTTCTTCTCTTTTGTATAAATTTGACGATCAAAAAAAAAAGAATCCAATGATTTGCTCATAAGATGATGTAATTTTTAATTTAAATTTCTATTTTTTTTTACTCAAATTACAATAATTATTGTTAATTATCAATCAAGTTTCTCTTTTCCCTCTCTTCCTCTATGTCGTTCGCTCTCGATTCTTTATGATAATTGTTTAATGTCTTTCATTCATTTATTTAAGTTTTTTTTTTGAGTTATTCCATTTGTTAATTTTCATTTTAATCAAATTCATTTAATTAGACGAAACGATATTGCAACCATTCGCTCCCGTTGTAAATTCTTCTTTTTTCGTTCATTTTTTTTTTTTCTACAAATGGCTTAGATAGATTTTTCATTAGAAATATATGCAATATAATTTTTTCTTGTTGAAATTACTGTGAAATGTACCATTGTTATACCATGCGGCTTTGACGCCTTACTGACAATTGTTGTGGTCAAAAATGCTTGGCGACAATGAATTTTCATTGTGAAGTTCTGGGAAGAGATTGAAATTTAGGCGAATTGATGAGCTGTCTTTTTTTAAAGTTAGATTTATAAATGATTGTTTTAGAAAAAAATTCCAAAAAAAATCTTCCTGAAAACTGGAACAAAAATTTCTGCAAATTTGTAATTTAAATATTCTTTAATTACGATTTTCCAACAATCAAAACATGAGAAATTTTTTTTTAAAAAAAAAGCCTTAAATTCGACTAAAGTTCACAGTTCGACGAATTCAAATTTTTCCTTATAATAAAAACGTTTTGCTTTTTAATGGGACAATACGCGCAATATTCAAACTATACTCTTCAAATTCTTCAACATCATACTTCCATTATCACTCAAAAATAATATCAAACTCTGTCTAAATAGAGGGAAAGCAAGAGAGGGAATCTGAAAAAAAAGTATGGAATAAAGGGAGGCTTGTGCAAAGAGCAAAGGTAATAGGCCTTACATTTTTATTCACAGTAACAGTTTTTCCTTGATAATTTTAGCAAATTTTCATTATTAGTTTAATTCAAATGTCACCTTTCTCGCATTTATAACGACACCCTTATTTTCTCTCTCCCTCTTTCTCTCTCTTTCTTTCTTTGTTTATCATTATTCAAGTTTACATCTCATTTATTCAAATGATTCTCATTTGTATTGATTGTCAATCCTACTTGGATCTATGATATGTATGCATATATGAATATGATAATTATATACAAATGTTAATTACTAAGTAGTTTAATTTTCTTTTTTTTTAAGAAAAGAGTTAACATTATTATGACCCTTTGTTTCTCTCTTTCTTACCCTCTCTTTCCCTCTCTCTCTCTCTCTGTCGTTCTGTTCTTTCATTTATTTTATTTTATTTTACATAACTAAAATAGTCTTTTCTAATCGAATTTCTTAGTCACAAAATGTAATGAAATTTGTTCGTTTCGTTTTTT